CATCGACTCCGAATCGACCACCCAAATGTGATTCCAAGGAGCTCAGATGACCTACTTGGGCATTCAAATTGCCTGCAAGGATCACAATGTCAGTGCTTTTTGCCTGACGAATGAGCCCTGATGGCTTTCGATAGAAAGTATCCTTCTCCGCATCAGAACTGCAGTCCGTTGGGGAATAAGCCGACACTACAAACAGGCACCGCTTTTTATACCACGAGGTATTGACCTTGACTGAACTGGATAACCGGACGGCGCAGAGACGACTGTTCACTGGGATCCAATCCAGCAAAGTGCGTTCAGTTCTTGGACTGAGTGCAACTCCCATGCAATATATTCCACGAGTCATCGCTTCTGGGTCACCGGACACACAGAGGGAGAAATATGAAAGAGCTGAGTTCGTCCTTAGCGTTCTGAGCTGCATAACCACGCTTGAGTCTTGTATGCGTGTTTCGGAGACACAGCACTTAAGGGAGTATTACGTTTCAGCGAGCATTGCTTGTTTTTCAATTTGACGCAGAGTGCGGAAGCTCCCATATAGAAAGGATTTCGTGGATTGAGAAGAGTATTGTTTTGTTTAATGTTTGTGGGCAGCGAAGAGCATAAGGCCCTTCGGTCAGATAATTGCCAGTCGGCTGACCCAACGACGTTTGTTTGTGTGGTAGGAGGGGGGTTTGGGAGGGTCATCGGTTGAAAACGAACTGCGCGGGTGAATGATACCGGTTGCCCAGGCAGAGGAAGTGGGTTTGGTTGAGATACCCCACCTTGAGCCTTTGACTCAAACGTCTGACCCACAAGGCAGTGGGAGGGTGCAGGTTTTTGTTAGGATACCCTGTCTCTAGCCTCTGGCTCAAAAGTCTGGCCCACGACGCAACGGACAGTAATGTTTTCTTTGGGGATCCTGGCCGGGGCCGATGACTCAATAGGCTGACCGGCTCGGCTGCAGGTGGTTGGCCGAGGGTGCACGGAATAAGTCATTGCTGTCTCAGTCCTGATGCGGCTACACTCAGCAGATACCTTTTGAGCAGCACCGGGCTCTTTGGTTTTATAAGTATTTGGACCTTATCGGATAATGTGCCGGCGGTCGCGATCAACCGTTGGACGGTCGGAGTGCACGATTTTTAGGACCGACCTTTTCTAACCCGTCCTTCCTTGAGAGAAGGCAGCATCGCTGTTTCCATAAATATAAATATGCTGGTCGCCTGGAGTAAACACCTTATTGCCTTCACACTTCTATCGCAGAGTATAGTACAACTTTAACCCCAGACCGCCTCGTAGCACGATTACACATAGTACGGGTCTCACTGCTCTTAGTCTGACTGCTCTCCTTTGGCCTTGCTGGTATGGCTGCACCTTGTGGAACGAAGTTCCAGCCAGTGTGGCCCCCGGGATCATTGCAATACTCAAGCCCGACCACCATGTAAAATTGGCAGCTTTAGGTCGGGATGTGGCACGGGAGTGTTGTCAGCTGTGAGACTCATTGTTTTACGTAGGTAGGGTTACTGCCAAAGCGTCCAGATCTAGACAGGAGGACGACTAGAGCCCTCAACCAAAGCCTTTGGCTCAAAAGCCTGATCACAAGGCAGCGGTGTTTGGCGGGAAATGCAGGTGCACCTCAATTTTTACACCACACTTGCTCCAGCCCTCAATCTGGATGACCAGGAGACTGTGTTGATCAGACTTCTCACTACTGGCTAACTTGGTATGGGGGACTGGGAGTATCGCACGGACGCCCCCCAGTATAGCCTAGTAGATCACGGGAGCACATGAACCATCACACCACGGTAATGTCTAGTCTCTGCATGACAACGTAGCCAAGGATATTCACTGCTGGTGAGCAGTCCAGTGCTCCTCTTCTGTGTGTACTCACCAGAAAGATTGCACTAAGATAGGAGGATGAATTTAAATAAGTACGATATGTACGCGAGTTTTGCAAATTCCGCAACATCCTACAACTAATAACTAACAATCACCCTGCTGATCAGCCGCCAGTGGTAGGTTGGGGGGTTCCAATCCCCCCATGGAATTTCGTGAAATACGCGCTGCCCATGGTTCACAATAAGTATAGAACAATTGTCAAATGCTTTTTAGCATAGAGTAGCTTCGCTTGGAGGACGAAAGTCTTCACTGGCAATAGCCTACTCCTGGTAACCTTCTGTCCTATGGGTTCTAAACTGATCATTGAGGTACAAGGTCCTTAGGCACGTGGTTTCTCAACTGTTTCTTTTACATGCCAGCAAGTGTGCCTTCATATTCCGCTCTTCGCTGACGATTTCAGTATATGGTGCAGGATTGATCCACTTGTCCGCCCTGAGGGTGTCCAGGGGTGTCTAGCCATTTCACTGATCATGATAATATCCACCTGCTCCCACCGCGCCATAAAACCCATTTCATTGGCTTCTTGCTTATCTCATTAACGGCACAGCGCTCGAGCAAAAAAAACGAAGACTAATAATTCATAACAACCTTGCTTGAACTTCGACCGGTAGCTTGAGCAACCTATCGCCATTTAAAGACGGGGAAATTATTGTTCTTCGCAAACTTGTTTGGTGATGCGACCGCGTTCCGGACAATTAGAGTCAATTAGCGCCTATACTTCCATTCAAAAGTTTTCCCAACGATAGATTCATATGTCTTGTGCATGTCACACAGCGCCTATTCTACTGGTTTCAACCCCTCTGATACCTATGCTCTGCATGTGACACTTAAATCTGAGGATGTCAAGCGAGATTTCGTCTGGCTGTAGGTTTACTGGTCACGTAGTGTTATGTTGAGTGCTTGATCAGCGCCAGAGCTACTTCTCACCAGCAACCATGGTTTACTTCGACTCCAAAATGGCCTTCCATCCTGCAGAAATGTCAGGTTTTCCGCGTATATATATATATATAAGATCNCAGGTTTTGCGCATATATATATATATATATATATATATATATATATATATATATATATGCTCTATCCCTACATTCGGTCAAGCAAGGGTTTACAAAAATGGATATAGGAATTTTTCCTGAACTAATGGAACCCGTCGGAGCTATCTGCTGTACCGTGAGCATTGGTGTCGAAATTACGCATGGAGAAAGGTCAGTGAGCTTCGGTTATGCAGACCACATCGTCCTGTTAGCGCATTGTTATCACTGCTATGGTTCTAAATAGGATCTCCGAACCAGTCCAATATTTAAACGTCCACTTCGCACCTTCAATGTATAAATGCTTCTGGATTTTCAGTATTTTTGTTTCTTCGTGAAACTCAAGGGAGGAGAACTTGATTTTGTTGACTGGTTGGCACGTATGGCCAGCTGCATGAGCCGTAACAGATGAACCCAGTACTGCACGATCATCATCATCATCATCATCAACGACAGCATGACATTAGTGCTCAACACCAATGCTTCACTGCCGTACAGCCATGACTTATTTGAAAGCCTTATTGTAAAGAAAAGAATAAAGGTGGATGGGGGAGGAGGACCATGACCTACACAACTAACAATATTCTCATGCCACATCGGCCGTCGCGTGGTGCCATCAGCCGGGTCGCCTTACTTGCTGCATACAGCAGGGCGGGTAAGCGAAAACAGGCTACTGCTGACGCCTCCCTTCTTTCTCCTTCACTGCACGATCAAGATATGAGCAACACTTGCCACCTTGCTCCACTTATGACGTCATAGGTCAACTTCATTCAAGTTAAAGGGCCGTGTCTCCAAAACGGATGTGGGGCCAGCCTTGCTTGTGAACCTTATATATACACGTGCGTGTACTATCTTATTGTGTGTATACACCTGCGTAATGATTCAGAAGAGCCTCAGCGGTTGGTATACTTCCAAACATTGGTACCCTCATAGGCATGCGGACGTTATCTGACCACTACGATACTGCGCGTAAGCGGGCATTCGGTAGCGAACCAGGATCACTGGAGCAGCGTATGAAAATGATTAGCTTGAGGTGCCCAACCGTTTCCTACCGAAGATAGCACTTTTCACTACGAGCTGCTGTTGGTGACTGATTCACGGTCAAACAGGCCATGACATAGCAACGCGAGGTAAAGATGGCACGTGTCAAACTGGGCGCTGCGGAATTTCCAGGTCCTTCCAGTTAGAGTGCGTGTGAGTCTAAACCTGATGAAACATGACATGTAGCCGATACCGACAGCAAAGATGTCTGCGGTAGGCTTGCATTAACTGCGGTTTGTAAAAGTTGCTAGGCGGCTTATTTTCAGTGCTAGTCGATTTTAATTGCTTACCCCAAAGTCAAGGCTTTTTACATTAAGCCTCCATCCTTCCCCTTTCTGCAGTTACTTGGACGTTTTTCCTCATGATTTTACGGCTGTTAAGCACCCGCATTCACTGCGGACTTGTTACTGTCGTGACAGTAGATGATAGATGCTGGAATCTATTCTCCACCCATCCGGCGGTTTGATACTAATCTTGGCTTCATTCGTCACAAAGCGTTTCGAAGCATATTGTACACGTTAACCTTACAGAATGGATTTGACGCTCACGTAAGTACCACATAAGACGAGAACACTCAGACCTCAACTCGATGAAGCATCGTTGCACATCAACTGATTGTTGATTCTCACGTTTCTCATTTAGACCATACACGTGACAGATTCATCCGTCGATCAGTCTTTTGGAACTTTCGATGCAGCCGTGATAGTATTGAAGCAATGAATTTCGTAGAAAAGAGATTATTGTCATGCTGTCTGCAAGTTCGGTTACTTCTGCTGCTGCTACAGGTCTGTTACCTTTTCATTGTTCTAACTGATATTTTCCGCAGATACTTGTCAGTCCGTTTCCAGACCATGATGCGGATGCATTCCATCCACCGAATGGCCCTTACCTTGGTCAAACAGACGCTCTTCTATCCTATCTTTTCCGGGGTTCCAAACGATGGGATTCAATTTATTTCTCCTTCATTGCCCAATGGGGCTATGTGTATGAACAGAGTTTGGCTTTTTTCCCATTGCTTCCCATTTTACTAGGATCAGTGGCCAGGCTTATTTACCCTATTGTTGGGATACTGTTAAGTCTAGATACGGTCATACTACTTGTGGGTGTGGTCATTAATTTGTCATGCACTTTATTCGCCACCTTGCAACTCTACCGACTGTGCCTAGAATTGATAGGCTCAGAAAAGATCAGCTACGTATCAGCTGTACTTTTTTGTGTAAACCCTGCCTCCATATTCTTCTCCAGCATCTATTCCGAATCGTTGTACTTTACTCTCACTCTTTTGGCATTGCGGTATTATGAACGAAGCAGATTGTTCCCATCCGCGCTGCTGTTTGCTCTGACCACTGCGTGTCGTAGTAATGGTTTGGTCAATTGTGGATATTTGGGTTACGGTCTCTGGTGTTCTCTGGTCTCTTCGTCCCGATTGTGGAGTGAACGTATGGGACTGAAAGAGGTGCATGGCTGTGCTCACCTCCTACGCGAATCCTTACGTTGGTGGTCCTCAGCTCTTTCGTTACTGATACCATACCTATTTCTGGGACTGTTATGCGTGTTACCCTTCATCGTCTACCAAGCCTATGGCTACCATTTATTCTGCTCTCCACTTGGATCCACCTTACCAGCACTTTTGCCAGAACCAGCAGTGTTTGTCATTGAACATGGGATTCAAATGGGCTATCGGTTACCGTATCACCTGGTATCGCAGTATCCACAACTAAAAAGGAACCACACTACACCGGTCTGGTGTTCTTCTGATTTACCTTTTTCCTACTCACACATACAGCGTGAATTTTGGAGTGTGGGTTTTCTGGGTTACTTCCACTGGAAACAACTGCCCAATTTCCTTTTGGCTATTCCTGTGATTCTGTTGAGTTTAAGTTGTGCCTCCTCTTTCTACTCGCGGGCACCAAAGGCCTACCGCACATTGGGGGTACATGCGGAGTCTGCACGTGATCGCCAACTGGTGCCTTACGTGTTACACCTGTTGTTCTTAACAGTGTATGGAGTATCTCACATCAATGTACAGGTGAGTACCTCGATGTTGTATTGTCTACCCAACTGCTATAATTTGATGAGTTTTTTGCCTCTAAAGCTATGTTCCTTGTCAAGCTCAACATTCGGCAGATACCGCAAATGTGACCGGTTCCGTAGATATTTGTGTTTTGTGCCACATCGGCCAACCTCGTCAGCGTACTTGCTTTTCTATATTTCGACTTCATCGGCTTGTACAAACTTTTAACTGATTAGCTAGCTCTATATGCCTTGCGTTCACATACAATTTCCAGAACTTTGGGCTGTGTCAGGTGAAATTGGAATTTTTGTGCGTCCGTTCGTATGCAGCTTGTAGACAAGAGGGCATTTTCAGACTATCAAGTTGTGGGTGTCAAACTACGGTTTGTTTTGGTGTTCTCATATTTGGACACCCAACAAGCAGGTGGAACATAAGAAGTCCTTACTAGAAAGGTGTCTTTTGTGTGCAGTCCGTAAACGGACTACATGATCGCTTCCACCGGCCAGGATATCTCATCTTCTCTGCCTTGCAAGCCACACTCGACTCCGTCTATTATCGATGCTATGTCGAACAATTGCGGCTCCCGAAATTCTTAATACTCCTGGGCGTTAATTTGCATGGGCAAAGGAGTCTACAATAAGCTTTTCACTCAATTTTATCGCATTCAGTATCCCCCTCCTGTTTTTGTTTGTCTTTGCTGACGTGTTGGTAAACTATTTTCCATCATCCTATTATGCATATGCGTTAAGTCTTTGTGAGAGCTTTTGTCGAATGATATTAAATATTCGGTTTCCGGCGAGGGCACCGCCCAGTAATCTGAAATGCATGATAGGATTTTTGGAGAACGTAGCTCACCCATGGAAGGTGAGATGACAACTTTGCTGATTTTGTCGGCTTCGCCAGGTGCTATCTAGATCAGTGGAGATGCTTAGCCGTGTAATTGTTTCCGTCCAGTCGTGCGCACGACACGAATCATATGGAAGGTATCATCATCATCAAGACAGCGAAACCAGTGGTGACACTGGCGCTTCACTTCCGTACAAACCTAAAGTTCATTTAGTTATACTTGAAGCCCTAAAGTGTAAATAAGGGAAAAGACTGTGTGAGGAAGGGGCCTGTTGTTAGCCTCCCGCAATCATTCTGAACTGCCTACATCTCCAAGCGCTCAACCAGACAATATGGAACGCCACTGACATCGAGTAGTCGCAGTTTCTCGCAATGTCACCAACCAAACACTGAAATGGGTATTACAGTGCTCTCATCCTGGAAGACAGACCGTACCAACTACATAAACTCGTAATCTCTTTCACATCTTTCTGATAAGTCATGCGTTGTCCACCTCGCAGTTCCCGTCATTCTGGAGAAGGCCCAGAGAACAACATTGATCTCGGTGGACGATATTTCGGTATACGAAGCACATGGCCAAGGCATCGTAGTTGATGTTAATATATTTTTTCCGCGACTATTATACCTGCACAACCTGATACCCATTTTCTAATTGCCTCGTTACGAATTTGTTGATGCCATCCGATACCAACAACGCTTCTGAGACGTTGGTCTTCAAAAACCTGAAGACGCTTCAGATAATCTGTCTACAGAGACCATATCTCATAACCATACAGCAATGCAGCCCTTATTGTAGCATGGTACACGCGATTCCCGAGACCCAGAGATACGTCCTTTAGGCGCCACAAGTGACGCAAGTTACCAAATATAATTTGGGCCACTAAGATTTGTGCACTGATTTCATTAGACTCTTCCGTCAGAACTAAAACAACTACCAAGGCATGCAAAATTTTCCACGACCTTCGGTGCTTCTTGAAATGCAAGAGGCATGTTCACAGACTGCTTGTTAGGTCATAACCTCGTAGCGAAGTGTGAAAGTAATAACCAACAAGCTCAGTAACCTCGATATCTGCAGTCTGTCGGAATGGGAGACCCAAGATGAATGTGGATACATTGGTAGACGTGACTCATTGACGGATCCCGTGACGTGCATCCATACGAGCTATTGTCTCCAGTGCGCAACTAGCTAGTCCCATTTTCCACATGGACCCACCCAAGCTGTCTACAGTTTCAAGTACTCACTTAAGCAATCTGAATAGAAATGAACATCGATTCGCTGTTTCCTCTCCCTAAATCCAGTCAGATACAAGACCTATATCCGGTATCTGGTTCATGCCTAGCCATCGCCGAGTATTTGATCGGCGTCTGGTATTTGTCCCACTTTCTTGGTGGTTTGTTTATCCCCCTGTTGTGTTCAGCAGTTCTAGTTCGCAGTTGCCTGGCTGTTTGCCCCACGTAGACTTTGGTGCACTCGTCACATTTAATTACATACACACAATCTCTCTAGTCCTGTCGACCGGTAGAGTCGTTTAGTGTTTTTCTTACCACGACAGGTTGGTCTGCCTTGTGGGTCAGACTTTTGAGTCAAAGGCTCAAGGTGGGCTACCTCAACCAAACCCCCTTCCTCGGCCTGGGCAATCGGGAAGTATCATTTGCCCGCGCAGTTCAGCGTCCACCGATGTCCCTCTTCAACCCCTTCCCAGTGCACAAGCAAACGTCGCTGGACCATTTGACTGTCAGTTATCTGACCGAAGGTCCTTATGCTCCTCCCTGCCTACAAACATTAAACAAAATAGCATCTTTCTAAATCCACGAGATCCTTTCTATATAGGAGGTTTTAACGTCCGTACTCTATGTCAAATTGGCAAACAGGCTATGCTTGCTGAAACCTTGTACCCCCTTAAAATGGACGTATGCTGTGTCTCCGAAACACGCATACAAGACCCGAGCATGGTTCTGCATCTCAGAACGCCAAGGATGAACTCAGCTCTTCCACATTTCTCCCTCCATGTGTCCGGTGACCCAGAAGCGATGACTCGTGGAATATATGGCGTGGGAGTTGCACTCAGCCCCAGAGCTGAACGCGCTATGCTAGATTGGATCCCAGTGAACAGTCGTCTGTGCACCATCCGGTTATCCATTTCAATCAAGGTCAATGCCTCGTGGTATAAAAAGCGGTGCCTGTTTGTAGTGTCGGCTTATTCCCCAACGGACTGCAGTTCTGATGCGGAGAAGGATACTTTCTATCGAAAGCCATCAGGGCTCATTCGTCAGGCAAAAAGCACTGACATTGTGATCCTTGCAGGCAATTTGAATGCCCAAGTAGGTCATCTGAGCTCCTTGGAATCACATTTGGGTGGTCGATTCGGAGTCGATG